TTTTAGGAAAGACGTGACATTTAGAAAAGAGTCCATAGAGTCTCAAATTCTTATAATTTTAAATATGTTACTGCTCTGTTTAAATACCACTGACAACTTTCACTAAGAAAGTGAACACAGTATCAATAAAATCATTGGTCTGGACATTAAGCTTTAGTCTTGGCAAATGTCCTTAACAACTGTGAGACCTTGCAAATGTTGAAATTTAGCTTCCTGAATTGTAAATTGGTAACAATAATACATTCCACAAATATCTAATTAGCCCTTAATAAGTGATAGACACTCCTTTCCACACTAGGGATATAGTAGTGACAAAAGAGACAAAGTTCCTGCCCTCACAATAAATATACTGTAAGCAAATATATGCTTTCTAAGATGTAGTACTAAGTCTGATGGAAGAACATCAAGCAGGTCAAGGAGAATAGAAAACATGACAGATAAGTGGGCTGCTATTTATGAATAGTGGTAATAACATATCTTTGATTGGGGTGGGGGAAGGGGTATGCACATAACTGCCTGCTTGTCTGGGAATAGAGAAAGTAGTCAAATGATTGAAAATATGTGAAATTACTGGACACTATCTAAACAAAAGATTTCATGATCATCATTATTGCAGATTAAATCTAAACTCCTTCGCTTCACAATTAAGATTCTTCTACAACGCAAACATTCCATGCTATCTTTATAGCTTTATGTCCACTCCCCTGTATTAACCTAACTCCCAAATTTAGTTTTGACCTTGCCTAACTCATTGGACAATTAATCGCATACCATCTCATTTTACTTCTATTGTTTCTTCTCTCTGAATTCTTTATTATTTCATGTTCCCTAAATTCTGTGTTCCCCAATGAATAGAAATACTTTTGTATATCAGTGTTTCTATAAGTACCTCGAGCATAGGAAATATTCAGTAGTATTTATTGATTTTTGTTTCACATACTGGTTTGTTTCTCATCATTCTGAAAATTATCACTCTGTTTGGAATATAGTATCACACTCAATTTTGTATAAATTTTAAATGGCTTTATGTTTCGTGGTGCAATACACATTCTGCAAAGAAGGATTTTGAAGAATTCTTTATTGCTAATTTGGGTCTTTAACTGTGGTTAGGACTTGCCCTAAAGATTATCTCAGTATCGTTCAGACCAAAAAGTAGCTCCTAGTCCTATGTGCTCTTTCCGTGACTGTAATGCTATGTATCATCAAAGCCTTTCCATAACCTTGGTGTATTTCTTGGAGTATACATCTTTGTTATCATCTGTTAAAATGAGTTTTAAGTGAATTTCTCAATTTAAAGAACTCTCTGTCAGTCTGAGAAATCAAGCAAAGAAGAAAGAGTAAAAATATAATAGAAATTATAGGATAAATACTAAGTGAGGTCTTGCTAATTATGATAATGACCCCCCAAAATATCCTCATCCTAGTTCCTTAAGCTTATGAGTATGTTACCTTACATGCAAAAAAAGGTCTTTGCAGGTGTAAGTCAAGTATTTTGAGATGGGAGATTATCCTGGATTATCTCTCCACTGATCTACTGTTTTCACAAGGGTCTTAACAAGAGGGATTTAGGAGGGTCAGAATGAAGGGTGAGGAGGTCTGAGTAATATGATCACAAGCCAAAGAATGCAAGTTGCCTCTAGAAGCCAGTGTCAGGGTACAGGGGAAAGGCCCCCCTTCCTTTATTCTCTTCTCAGGTTGGTCAAGTAATCCAAACAGTATCAAGTGGCTTGGCAGGGGGAAACGATCAATTTAATAATTTGTGGGAGAGTTACAATGATTATGCAGATTCCAATTTCAGTCAGGAGAGCAAGGATTAAATTCTGAACTAAGGGATGGGTAAGGACCTGGGTACCCAAGAAGAGAGGAGGGGGACTTCACATGATGAGGAGATGATTTTGTGTCAATTTAAAAGTAAAAATGGGGGCCTCCCTGGTGGTGCAAGGGGTTAAGATGCAACCTCTGTAGCACCAGTTCGATCCCCGGTCAGGGAGCAATCCAGATGGCACAGCAGACCTCTCCTGACTCACCCACTGCTCCCCTCAGCAGTGTATTTCATTTCAGTCAGTCTGCCTCTTCTGTTCCCCACTCTGTCTCTGGTGAATCCTCTCACCCCCCACAACTCTGGCCTGTACCCCAGTTCTTCTATGCATAAATAAATAAATCTTAAAAAAAAAGTAAAAATGTGTTTCTCATCTATAAAGGACAAGTCTACAGGTAAAACTGTTCCTGAGGCTATCTTCCAACTACATTCTCTCAGTAGTAAAAGAGAACGAGATGACTTCTTTGATTATGGGAAGGATAGATACTTTTAGATGTAGCCCCCAGAGCCTTTGTTCTCAACTCAAAATAAGCTGCATGTCAGAGTGGGGCATCTTGAAGAGACCAGCATTAAGAATCTTGAGGTGTACTAAAAATGGAGCTACCATATGACCCAGCAGTTCCATTCCCAGAAATCTACCAAAGGACACAAAAACATTAATTTAAAAAGATAACTGCGCCCCTCTGTTTATTGCAGCACTATTTATAATAGGTAAGCTATGGAAAGAACACAAATGCCCCAAAATAGATGACTGGATCAAGAAGATGTGGTGTATATACACAATGGAATACTATTTAGCAATCAAAAAGATAAACTTATGCCATTTCAGCAACATGGATGGAGTTAGAAGGGAGCATGCTCAGTGAAATAAACCAGAAGGAAAAAGAAAAACATTTGATGGTTTCACTTATAGGAGGAATATAGGGGGATATAAGGGATCAGGAAAAAATAATAATGATAATAAAAAATAAAAAACAAAGTTAGCAGGCAACCATAAATCAGGGAGAGGGAGGAAGAGGGATCAAAACAGGGGAGAGAAGAGCACAAGGAACCGTGATGATGGCTCACAGGTGAATTGGTGGTGGGAATTTTACAGGGATTACATCTAAAAGGAGAAAGCATGTAAGCGTACATTGTACAAAAATGAACAATGATGTAAAAGATATAAGTAAAAAATAAAAAAGAAAATGTTAAAAAAAAAAAAAGAATCTTGAGGTGATTTGTTGATTTGTTTTAAATAGCTTCCTTGGAGAAGTTGAAGAAGGAGAAGATCCTCCCCCTAGTCTCCAAAAGGAATATGTGGCCCTGCCCATTCTTTGATTGTAGCCCTGTTAAACCTCTTTTTAGGCTTTTGACCCCCAAAACTATAAGATAATAAATTGTGTCTCATTAAGCCACTAAATCTGTGATCATGCGCCACATTAACAGTAGAGAACAAATACATCGGTATAGTGAAAACAGCCCTGGACAGATCTGTCACAGCCTAGTTCCTACATGCATATTAATTATGTAACATCAGGAAACTCACTCTACCTCTGTTTTATTTCCTATAAATTGAAATTATACCTGCCTTAAAGCATTATGAAGACAGATGACATTATTCACATGAGCACTTTGTAAAATGCTTTGTGTTAGACAAATGTTAGATGAAAAACTTTGAAGGTTTTCTCAATGAGGATGAGACCTGGAATGAAAACCTACCTGTCCTAAGAGTGCTCACGCCTTAAAAATTTACATCAGAACCCCTCTGTAATCACCATGCTGTTTCAGAGGTTGCCTGCCCAGGGATGGCCAGCAGACCCCCTTGGTCATACAAATTGAATATGGCTAATCAACTGCAGCGTTCTTTGCTCAAAAGTAAGGGCACAGGGGCCTCCCCGGTGGCGCAGCTTTTGAGCGCTGGGTTGCGAAGCTGCCCGCAGCCTCTGCAGCGCCGCTTCCATCCTCGGCCGCTGGCAAGGGCCCCACATGGCACTGCAGACCTCTCCTGCCTTGCCCGCTGCTCCCCTCAGCAGTGTATTTCGTCGGTCTGCCTGCTCTGCTCCCCGCTCTGGCTCAGGTGAATTCTCTCCCCCTCCCACACTTCTGACTGTACCCAGTGCTTATATAAATAAATAAATAAACCTTTAAAAAAAAAAAAAAAAGTAAGGGCACAGTCTTGGAATCCTTCTTAAGCCTAGAACAGACATGAAAGAACTTACTGAAAATCCCTGACCAAATGATTTAAAAAGTTCCATTCTTTTGGCTAACTGCATGGCCATCCCCTGAGAACTTGATGGAAATGCAAATTCTAAGGCACTCCACCCACTGTCCTGTTGAGTCAGAATCTGCATTTTTACAAGAGCTCTGCATGAGTCTTGTGTACTTGTTGAGGGGATTTATTGACAAGTGGTTTGAACCCCAGGGTCTGTTCTAGGACCTCAGGGAAAGTGTCTAAGTCATTAAAACCTCAGTTTTCTCATCAATAAAATGGAGAATAATATTCACCTCATTGGGTGGTTATTAGAGTTAAAGAATCTGCATTTAAGGCATTTTGCGGATCGCTTGTCAGTAAATATTCAGTTAAAAATACTTTTTTCCTTGTTAACACTTTGCACCAAGTTCGGTTGCTAACTATGCTACTCATCCATTCAGTCACCCTGAAGCCTCTCAACAGGGACAATTTTCCAAGGCCATTCATGCAGGGCGGAGGGCGGGGGGAGGGAAGGGATAGGATACTGCCAGCAAAGCCATCTCCAACTACACAGGACACTGTGCAGTTTGCTCCACACATTAAACGTTGGAGAGTCGTGCTTTTCGATCTCCACTGCACGTGGCTTTATTAGAACCGTCTGCTAAGTCTAGACACAGTCACAGAGTCCGATGACCTGTGGGAGGGCCAGCATGCCTGCCGAGTTGCTCTTGGCCCTAGCCCTCTACCCAAATACCCCTTTTAACTTTCGTCCTGCCACATCTTGCAGCAGAACCTTCCAGCCCTGCCCAGTTTCCCCCGCGGCTCGCCGCTGTAGCCACTGCATCCCCTTCCCCCGAGAAGGCCAGCTGGGGTGCTGTGGGGGCGGAGCTCGGCGTCCTGCTGCTTTGGCCGCGGCCCGCAAAGCTGCCGCCCCTTGGTCTGATGCTCAGCCCCGGCGGCGCTGCCTTGGCTGGACAGATGGGCGCTCCCGGGACCTGACAGAGCTTGAACTCCCACCTCCTGTTTGGCTGTGTGCCAGGCGGCAGCAGCGCTGCAGCCCCGTGGTAGGGCGGCCCCCGCGGTCTCCGCCCGGCTTCTGCGCGATGCCTCTGCTCTTTGCATAGTAATTTCAGTTCCTGCAAGCACACTGCTCGTTCCCGGAACGGGTCTGGAGAGGACCGCTGCTCACTAGTCAGCCGAAGCCCTCGGTGTGGCCCCGAGAGACGCAGCCTGAGATGAGAGACGGGAAGCCCCCGCCGCAGCGCAGGCAGCGGCCCCGCGGCGCTGGGGAAAGCCTGGCGACAGCAGGTAAGCGACCCTCGGCGGTTGAAGGAGACGCCCCCCGCGCCACCCCCGCCCAGCGATGGACCCGAGCTTTGCAGTGTGTTAGGTACAGATAGGGGGTGGATTCAGTCCTACATTTTGCGTGGCGAGCCTTTGCCTGTTGCTCTTGATCCCATGCCATCCTGCACTCCAGGAGGGGCCGTCTTGCTCACAGGTGATGAATTTCTCTGCAAGGTCATTGCTTCCTTAGACTCTGGCTTTGAAGGTAAATGAGAGAAGAGGCCTGCTATTCTTGTTCTTGGGTAGGGGGTGTGGGTGTGGGGGAGGTTACAGTCAATCGAGTCTGGACTCTGAATGTCCAAATTGCATGTGTGTGTGCGTGTGTGTGTGTGTGTGTTTGTGTGCGCGCGCGCACTACACTGGCATTTTTCTCCTTTTCTTTCTGCTTATTCCCTTTTAGGTCAAGACATTAATTATACTTATATTTGTGTTTATGTGTGTGTGTATACACAGGCACACATTTACCTAAATTTAGTTTTTCTTGCCCTAGGCAGAGAGAGAAGGGTGGCAGAGGTTGATAAAGGAAATCATTCTAGAGATCTGTTTAGTATCTTTAGGTGAACTTTGGAACCACATTAAATCAGGGTAGAAACTAAAGGCTATAAAAGGTTATTTGAAGATGAGCTTTAGAAAAGATCTGAACACTGCCAACCAATACACACAACAGACCTTCATGGTTTCCAGGCAGATCAAAAATATGCAGACAAAATTTCAGACACAACAATGGACAGTGAATGAGGATACTAGATGCTGAAGAGTGAATTTTGGGGTGGTGGAAATGCACAAATCTGGATTGGGTTTGCAGGATCAGGTTTAACTGGGCACTGGGAAAAATCTCTGCAGGGGTATAGGTAGTTCAAGGTTAAAATGATGTGAATGTCCAGATAGCAGCTAAGAAGGTGAGGAAAAGGCAAGTGTTTGACAAGGGAAGGAGAAAACGGAGCTTTGAGAGTCATGGAGAAGCAACTACTTTTTTTTTTAAAGGTATAGGTAGATGTGTTCATCTAAATAATTGTCACAACACATGTGTTAAAGATCCTTTGGTCCTTGTTTTCATTTTGATTTTGCAAGGAATCTGGGTCATCTTGGAACTGAAAGAAACTGAAGTGTTTACAACACCAGCAAGATTTGGCGAGAGAGTTGATTAAGGCTTAGCTTCATGAAATATTTACACATCACTTGCGTGGGCTTTTGTTTGCTCTTGCTGGTGCTGTTGCATATTTTACTTTGACAATGCTTTTAGTTTACTTCTCTCAAATGTGCTTATTTTCCAGTTATAAACTATTCTTTCTTTTTCATTGTGTTCTCCATTGGCCCTGCCCAGAGTAAAACTCTGGGGTATAAAGACACATGAGTCACAGCTTAAAGTAGAAAATCTTCTTTGCTGCTGTCCACAAATGGCAGGAGCAGGTATCAGAGAATGTGCTTTTGAAATAAAATCAGAATGCACATTTTTCAAGTTTTTGTGTATGTCTAATGAGGGGGGATGTTGATTCAAAAACAATAAAGTAGTGATTGCCATTGCAAGTCTAAATATTATATCACTGGGACTTATTTTGGAAACAGAGCAGAGGAACCATGTAGACATCCATGTAGAGTATTTTGTGGTGCAGTGAGGCTTCACCTAATCACCAACCAGACTTATAAAAATGCAGAGGACAAAATTGCAAGTACAATTCATATAGGGAGTGGAGGACTGAATGATTAGATTCAGAACAGTCTCAATTGGAAGCCAAGGTAATTTCCAATAGGGTAGTTTCCAATGGGTGCTTTGTATAACTGCCTCAATGTACTTAATTATTTGTCTGCTACATTTCATTGATTGTGCATCCAATATATTTAAAGGCTATCTTAGATACAGCTACCTTCACTGTATGAATTTCAGTCACGAAATTTGTAGCCTATGGGGAAAGCACTAAAATATTGATCATGAAATCACAAAATCATTAATGATTGGCCTCAAAGAGTCAGGACACACAATTTCCATCCTAGGCTCTTTCAATGGTAGCTGTTTGTGCCTTCTATAATTTATCAATTCATGTATTGATACATTCAGCATTTATTTATCTTGAACTCCACATGAGCCTGGATTGTGGAATAGAGGAGCAAAGGAGACACAGTCTCAGCCTGCAAAATTTGGAAGGGAGGGAGTGGAGTTAAGTGCTGTGAAGAGCTGGTTCTCTGGGCTATAGGAAGCAGGTTGGTGGACTGGAGAGGACAGGAAGGTTTCCCAAAGACCTAAAAGATGAGATCTGAAGCCTCATAAAGAAGAAAGAGAAGGGCAGTCCTGGTACAGGGACAAAATATATTGAGGCCCAGGAAGAGCAAATAGCTGAAGGTGGTTAACTAGACAGAGATGGGAAGATGAGGAGGGAGAAAAAAAGCAGACCCAGCATCAGACTGAAATTCAAAAGAGCTGTTAACTCATCTGGTCAACAAACCATTTGATTGGAAATTAGGGGAATGCAGTCCCATTCAGCCTCTCTTTTGTTTGCATTATCTAAGTTTATATCCTTCAAATTTTTAGAAACTATATTTATCTTAATTTACAATGGCCCGATTAAGGGGAGGCATGTCCTTGAGAAAGTCATACTTCTCTGTGACTCATTTCTTTATCCACGAAATGTCGTACTTTGCATATTGTGAAAATAAAAGAGATTGAGGGAATGGAGAGTTGAGTTTTATAGAAATGTGTTCTAAAGAAATCTTATTTTAATGACAGTGCTTAGAGGAAAAGGACACAAAACACTGTGTTTCCAGCACTTAATTGTCCTAAGTGACACCAAAAGGCACAAATATGATGATATGAAAAACTGAATGAACAAAACAATAACCCTCAGGATTATGGCTAAAGGGAACCCAACACTACATAAAAAGTTTACATTATTTTTAAGGGAGAAATTATTTACAGCGATCCCATAATAATTAACAAGAACTCTTCTAGAATTGGTCATTCTCTGCAAAGTCAATTTAGTAGGTCTGCATTTTTATCTTTGAATAAATAAAATAGAGAAAAACAGAATGTGAATGTAAATGTGAAGGTAAATAAATATTGTTCGGGAAATTTTAAATTAAATAGATATTTATATGTATGCACAGACTTGACTCTGTTGTAAAAAGTTTAGTTATGCATCTGGTTCTAAAATGTTTAAAAGCTACTGCTTTAAATGTTACAAAGAAGAGATGCTTCCAATCTGCAAAACCCCAAGAGTCAGCTCAGAGATCTGATGGATGAAGTTTGATGTAATACTCTGAATGGCAAGATTACCTTGAGAAAAGAAAACATTGTGAGTTGGACTTAATTAATCTAGAAAGGCTTCAAGGAGGAGGGGAAACTTGAGCTAGATTTTGAGAGTTGGGTAGATCTGTATAGACAGTGAGAAAGAATGGCAATAAAGAAGGAAGTAAAGAATGAGTGACCTAATGTGAAGCCTTTAAGAATCATGTAGAGGTCCTCCCCGGTGGCGCAGCGGTTGAGCGCCGGGTTGTGAAGGTTCGGTCCCCGGCTGCCCGCGAGGGTCCCACATGGCTGGCAGACCTCTCCTGCTGCCCACTGCTCCTCTCAGCAGTGTACTTTGTCACTCTCCGCTCTGGCTCTGGTGAATTCTCTCACCCTCCCGCGCCTCTGACTGTACTTGTATAAATAAATAAACCTATTAAAAAAAAAGAATCATATAGAAAAGAAAAAATCACTATCAATGGGGAGGAGAGAATTTAAAGCAGATTTATGTTTATGTTTAAGCTAAAACATTACTCAAATTGCTATTTATTTTATATCTAAAATTTCCTAACACAAGTACTTTCAAAAAAATCTAGACAGAATGGCCATAATGTCATAAATCTGTCATATCTTGCTATCTTTTTATTTCTTTTGCAATAATTTACTATGTCTTATTTCATTTGAATTCGATGTTGAATTATTGAAATTATGTGATACTCTACAGTATAACAGGATTATTTTATTTCTCAGAGTACAAGTACAATCATTGGCACAGAAGGGCAGGAATGATAATCGAGTGATTTCATAAATCAAACAAATCAATTTTTTTCTCTTCAATAAGTCTAATTTCTTCGTGTAATATACTTCACTAGGCAGTGGCAGCCCTGTGAAGGTGAACCAGACTACACCGTAATCCTAACTCCCAAAGGAAGAGCAGAGTTTGGCAAATTTTTCTTTTCAGTTGCTCTATGATTTGACCATCATTTCAATTAAATATTTAAGTATGTTTATATGTATATCAAGAAATTTAGATTAGAGCCTTTTACTGTAGTCTATTAGTTATTTTGTGGCAATAAAATCAGAGAAGGAAGTGTTCACTGGGTGTTTCTGAAAACTTTGGTGGGCTTTTTTTTTTTCAGTTCTTGCTATCTTTAATGTGGGGTAAAACAATGCTATAACATTAATACCCTCTTGGTTAAAGCAATGCCTTTCACCAGAAGAATACTACCAGTTAAACTAGAGACAGTGCTTAAACCAGTTGATTTGGAGTATAGTCAAATATGGAAGGTCACCCTTTCTACAAAGATGTCTTTGACTCCTCTCTCATCGTCCTTTGCCACATGACATGTTTATTAGTGATAATCTAACATAAATCAATGTTTGATTATGTTTGAATGTTTGAATGGAGAAGACATCTATTGAATTTCATTGGGGGAATGTATATATTCTAACAATATAGAGTGTAAATTTAGATTAATTATTGTCTTGAATACCAGTGAGAAAAAATTTTACAGCTTTTAGGCTGGGACTACAGGAATTGGCAACACAGCAACAGTTTTCTTAATTTTCATGCTTGTAATTAAATTATTTTGAAACTAGCAGCATAATTTGAAACCCAAATAATTATTACCAGGGAAAGAAACCGGCCCTTAACTGGAAGATTAAATGCTATGACCTATTAAAACTGAGTCCCAATCTTGAGATGGGGTTTATGAATCTGTTTTATAATGTTCCCCAAAGAATT